TATGAATCAGAGATTTCATTTATTTACAATCCTAACTATTTCCAATAGTTACATAACACTATCCTTGGTCAAGGAATAAGCCTTGAAACTCAAGTTACATCCATCAAAACTAGGGTATAAATTATAAATTACATTTTTTATATATAAAAAAAAAGCTCTAGCCTGTTCTTGAAAAAAGTAGTTTCCTTCCAAGCAGGTGATTCTAATTTAAACAATACGACATGAGCCAAACCTTTCTCCGCGCATGCTTTAAATGTTGTTAAAAATATATATCAAAAGTACATCTCCTTATTAAATATGAAAATATGTTATTAGTATTTTTAATACCTACAATGAACTCTACAGTTATCCCTAACTGGCGATAAAAAGTTGTTATATACCTTAGCAGACTCAAGTGCTGCTCATGAAATAACAGCACTTACTTCATTTTTTTTTCTAACTTATGTAAAAAACATGTGAAAAGGTGCTCATATAATTCAATATCACATAGCGTTTTTCGTAATTATCCTGGTTCCATTCTTTAGACACTTTATGTTTAATTGTTTAGATTGCTAAAAATGTTGTTCTATATAGATGAAAATGAAAACTTCCAAAAACAGTCACAGACCTCTTAGCAAGTCTAAGCTCTGCCAGACAATGAAACGATCAAAACAGCAAACATATCTGACATGAACTTGGGCCTAGACCGTGAGTTCAATGTTATTTATCCCACTAGATATTATTTCCATTTTTCATCTGCTATCTAACAACATTCACATTGCCGCCTGTTTCTTTGTTTCGCCCATAAACCTTTAAATTGTCCCAACACTTGAGACGACATCGTAAATTGGATGTAAAAAAATCTTCCAAACATACTTCGCGTAAGATTAAGACTAAAGTGAGTTATACTTCTCTGTTTCACAGAGAGGCCTATTTTAAAGACTCTGTTTCTCCGTGGAGCATTTTGCCGAGATCTCAGCTTCATAAAATTTTCTGCTCCATAGAGACGACTTCGGTACTACTATACAACATAACTCTCTTAAGGATTAAGGGTCGATTGACTATAGAGTTCATTAAGTAATCAGCTCAACAGAATCTGTGTAACCAAACCAACACTATGAACCAATCAAAAAGGGAAAACATGCTGCCTGCGCCAAAAGCGAAGAAAGCGAATTATTCAATAGAAAAGCATGGCTTTTGCGGGCTGCTGTGAATGGAGACGAGCCGGCGAAAGTCAGCAGAGTTCCAAATAAGATTCTACGTACAGTTTTACCTTAACTTGCCCCGAGTTTTTTCCTCGGATTCCTTTGAACAAACTGTAAAGACATTCTGATACCTACAAAATTTTGTTCCTGTTTTCGAGCCGAAATAGGATGCTGAAAATCCCTACTGTACTAAGTGGCAAGTGTACTACAATATCAAATAATTTAGCAGCATGAGTCCTTTAAAAAACTGTTTCACTCTTCCTCTGTAGAATCGAGCGTCTGCAGAAACTCCCGCAGTTGCTCAAAGGCGGAACGTTTCTTCTCTGGGAAAACTTCGTCCTCGCAATCTTTTCCATTCGTTTTCTCATAATCTGCTTCGTTGTCTCGTTCTTCCATCTTTGCTTCTTCCAACAGTCGTTTTATCTCTTCGATGGCGAGCGACTCATCCGTCAGGGGAGGCAGTGGCGGGGGTACATCATCGACGGGCGACTGAGAATCAAGCTCGTCCCCAGAATCTAGGCTTTCTGAAATGATGGAAAGACCACGTATTGATGATGGCTTTTGTTTTCTGTTAATTTTCGGGAAGCTGTAAAGGTCAGTTACGTCAGAATTAGAACTCTGTTCTCCTTCTTTGCACTCTTTACTCGAAGGCTTGTCATCCGTCACCTTTGGGCCTGATCGTCCAACATCCCCCGTATCTCGAACCACGTCATAAAGCTCGCTACCGTCCTGTTCTCCCGGCGTAGAACCGCGCAATTCTGTATTTTCGGTCTGTTTTTGATGAGCACTTTCAGTAACGGTTTTCGAAGGCGACGATCTCCCTGCGGCTTGGACCATTTCGTATGTGGGTGGAGCGGACTTTGACGGTGGCCTCGATCCAACTAACTCATACGTTGCACCATCGCTTGAATCTTTCTTAGCTTTGGGAAGTGTTGATGCACCAACTAAGCTGTACGCGTCTTCCCCCTGACTTGGATTGACCTCAGTGGGAACTCCAACACTAGAGTACAAGGCATCAGTGGCATCATCTTCGTCAAAACTCAAGTTACTGCTACCGCTGCTTAAAGCGCTGAAGCTTCTATTAGGCCGGCTTTTGACTTCTTCATACTGTGAGTCTACGGAACTTTGACTGCTGCAATAGCAGAGTGGGACAATTCTCAGTTAACCATTTACACCCTAACATCAGTATCTAAATTCTCCAAACTCTTATCTAGAAATTTCTTTTGGTACTAACAAAGAGAATTGGTTTAATAATCAAAGCTTCTAAGGGTGGCGATCATTTCCTTTATTCTTATAATCTTGATGACTAACTTAGCAGTGTTACTGTAAGGAGAAATTAGATGCTGGTCACTGGTTAATAATCAAGGATTTATCGTTCAATTAGCCCAGACAGTAGCCACCCGTCAGAAGAAAACTGTCAGCAATTGGTATTCCTTTACAAGTGGTTTCTCGAATGAAATCAATGGCATAAATTCCAGCTTGAAAAAAAAATTCACTTTAACGGGGCTTGAGCTTACGCCAGCAAAATTCCGCTTTGCTTCCAAGATTAAACTTAAGAGGCGCACGTTGAAAGCGACTTAAATAACGTTTCATGTAATCGATTTCATGCACAATTCGCGATCACCAACTTTAAAGCTGCGCCTTGAGATAAACCCGACGGACATAATCCTGTTTGTTTGAGAGGATGAGATGAGGTTTCTGGACCAATTAAAGAACAAAGACGAGACAAACTAATGTCATCCCAGATTACTTTCAAAACTCGACTTTGAACTCACAGTTCAAAATCTACCTCTCTTACCTGATAGTGTTCCTGCGCATATCAAAGGATTTCAGCTGCATTGCTTGCCTCAGTACACTTACCCAGTCGTTGAACAACTCAGGTGTTGGAGCGGACTGAAAGAGCAAGAAACCTTAAATCGAAAAATAACCCTCAGCAGATCATGGCTTCTGGCTGGCTTAACACTTAACCTCTCCTTAAACGTTTACTCTTATCATAATTTACAATGTTAAAAAAAAAGGAGTTTTAAGTGGTTATTACTTGCATTTACGACCTTTCACATAATGAAGTAGGCGAGTTTACGCGACATTTATCCGGAAATGTGATTGTGGTTTATCGAGTAAAGGGCTGTTGTCTGATAAATGTACACATTGCGTTTACAAATACGCCTGCAGTTGTACCTAAACTTGACCGCGATATGGAGAAGCAAATTCAAGGGACAACAAAACACTTCATTTGCGCATAACGAGTAAGGTAACACAAGCATTGCGCGTTAGTTTTTTGCTTTCTTGCGCACATGGCACTATTTGATTGCCTTACAGCAGAGTTCAAATGGGGGCAGACAAGACGGCTTCAACCCTTTCACACCCTAACATCAGTATGCATATTCTCCATACTGTTCTCTATACATTTCCTAAGGTGCTGACAAGGAGAATTTGTTTAACAATCAAGAGCTTCTTTGGGTGATGGCCATTTCCATTATACTTTGGACCTTAATGTTTGATTCAAGGGTGATATTGTAAGGAGAAATTAGATGCTGGTCACCCTTGAGGATCAAAGGAACATTGGCATTTGCTACATCTGTACAGTAAAAGTAAAGGCACAAGATATGAAGGCATACGGCCACTCCACGAAATTTCCATCATGCAGTTGAAGGCGATCAGACAGATGATACAAGCACACCCAAGGGCATGATACTCTAGAGGGGTGACATCATCAATTAGCAAAATAGTTGCTGCTGCAGCAAGCTCTGGGGGAGGGAGGGAGGGGTGGATAAGGAAGCCTGGGAGCAGTAGCCTACATGTAGCTGTACCCTCCCCCCCTGCCAAGGTGAAACAGAGGCGAGTTTTACCTTAGAGGGGGGGTAAGGCTACACGTAGACTAAGGGGCAGAGGAGGAGAGCTTTTCACTTAGGTATGTTATTGAGGTGAATGGCATGACATTTCAGCAGTACTTACAAATGTGTACGTCCTGCTCTTGGTGATAATCTGAAAGCCATTGTGGACTATCTTTACTGGATTAACTGCCTTGACCTAATGATAACAGATGTAAGATAAATTAATTATACTTGTATTTAGATAACTCTTAATTTGGCCAAAAACCGTCATTAAGTATGTCACATGATATAGCACTTTCCTTATTAACCTATTACAATGGTTATCCCAGAAATGGAGGTGAATTGTGAAGGAATGATTTTTCCACAGTAATACATCAAATCAAAATGAAATTTTAGTGTTATGAATAAATCAAGGAATTGATTGATTGAAGATGTAGAAATAGAGTTTAAGTTATATTGTAGTATCTGTCTTCTGTTATATCACATGTGTACTTCCAACATGATCTTCCCCAGTTGATAAAAAAATATTACCTGGCCAAAATCAATGGTTCCAAGGTAATTTTCTTCCTGTAAAAAGAAAAGGATTCATAAATTCTAAATATCCATATTCATCACTGACTGTTAAATGAACATGACTAACAAGTAGCTCAAAAGAAAGTCTTGATCTATGGTATTTTATAAAAGGCATACATGTCTATCTAGTAAACAGAACTCTGTTGCAAAATTTGATCTTGCTCCCTTTATCTTACTGTTTTCTCAGCAGCTTTGTAATATTTCAACTCCTGCCCATCTAGTGTGAACCATCTCTTTCTAAAGCCCTAAAAATATTGTGGCACAAAATATAATAATTACTAAACCAAATCATCATTCATTTAATTTCACCACCATAAAACTTGCATGTGGTATACCAATGTACATGTAGAACAAGAATAATGATAAATTTACCATGTTTTTTAATATATTTGAACTCATAAAACTTTACCCTTTTGACTCTAAAAGTGACTGGCATTTAATTTCTTCTTACAGTATCAACCCCAAATCACTGCATTGAGGTCTGGAGAATAGAGGAAATGATCATCAACTAAAAAAAGCTCTTGATTGTTCAACAAATTCTCCTTGTCAGTACTTTAAGAAATGTATAGAAAACACTATTAAGAATATATACTGATGTTACGATGTAAAGCTTAAAACAATGCTGATCCTACCCATATGCAAACTTTAAAGCCACACAAGTCAAATTATTTTTTAAGATTTTTTTTCTTTTGATGAAGAGAGAAACCCATGAGAGTACTGTAGGTTAGAACCATCAAAAAACTCACATAGGGCATCTGTTTTACTGAGGCCCAGTTTCAGGGGTGGGAGCCAAGCTCTCTGCTCCACTAGAAAGCAATCCCCTGCCCCCGTAATGCATAACAAACCACAGAATGAGGCTGTTTAACCCCTTAACTCCCAAGAGCTAATTATTGATTCACCCCTCTGGCTGCTTCATTTCCAAGTAAATAAGTTGCAAGAATTTTGTTTTTAGATCAAGATGACACCTTCTACCTGATAAGCTTGAGTTTTCTCATTACCTATTTGCTAGATCATGTGGAGATATTATAGGGAGAAGTAACATGTTAAATTCAATTCTGAGAATTAAAAGGGTTGAGATACATTTATGTACAATACAAGACCAAAACATTTTGCATACTGCACAAGTAACTTATGATTTAGAAGGTTCCACAGTGATCACAGCACAGAACTAATTGTGGGGTACACTGTACTTCTGGCCAAAATTCAATGAAACAAAGGCACCTACAAGGATCCTATTATTTAAGTGAAACATACCTGTGGGGTGCAAAATC